CCCCAAAACCCCAAAACCCCAAAACCCCTTATTTTAAATGAAATATTGATTTATAATTTAAACAATGCAAAAGGTGGCTAAGCTCAATCCCCAAGTCATAAGCCTATTTGACGAGCAAGGTAAGGAAATCCCTCAGTTGGTATTTTTAATGATATTTTTGAGTCATGAGCCTGCTTCACAGGTCCCTTGGGATGTGGTTTTCAATAATACTTAGAGCAATTCAAAGGAAACACCGTCCTAAACCAGAGTAGTAGCAGAACTCTTGGTAGGAAACCCTCTCTCATCCTCATTGATTGTAATGAGACTGAGTCTTCAATCCCTTCACAGATAAAAGAGGCTGCAAAGTCACATACAGAAGAGATCAAATAATTATGTGCTAACTCCAGAGCACCAGCTGGAGCTTGACCTTGAGCTAGTCGAATATATTGATGAGATCGAGAAGAAATTCGCCCTCAGCAAGATTAATAGGACATATAAATTCCCTAGGAGTACCAAACAAGAGTCCAAGGCTGGCTCAAGAATTGCAAAGATTAATGAGAAATATATGGAACAGATTCAGAAATTTTTAAAGGAAGATCCCAAGTCTAAGGAAGTAAAGCTTAAAGCCCAAAGTCGGCTTGAGAGACAAGATCGGCATCAGAAGTTTTCCGAGTTTCGTAACCCTGCAAATGTGTCTATTGATGAGGCCCAGAGAATTCGAAATGCTGTTACGAAGTCTCATATGAATTCTAAGCGAAATCACAATTTAGAAAGCTTGCGGAATAGTGCTGAAGGGTCCAGAAACAGATCAAACCTTGATAAGAACATTATGTGGGCCAAAGTCTCAAGTAAGTCATCTCAGTCGAGGCTCTAGGTCCCCAAGTAGAGCATCAAGTTATTGGCTCAATCTTTAACAAATAAAATTCATTCTAAGAAGATCAATAGGAGGTAAGACTAGGCCAATTTAATGATATAGTCGAATGAAAGTAGGCTCAGTGATCTCCAAAGGTTCTAAAAACAACAGCATTAGAAACAATCAGCTTAAGTTTGAGAAGAGAAGGCAAAGGGATTCTCTAGCAAGCCCTTCGTCAGATATTCAAGTCAATTTTCAGGTATTCATATAGTCAAGATTTCACCTTTAGAATGTCAGGTTGAACCTGAAAATGAAAAAGAAAAGTAATTCCTCTATGTAATAGCTAGGCCGCAAGCATATTTTCTCAGAGGAAAAGAAAAGGAAAAGAGTGGGACATTCTAGGAGCATCTTTGCCACAGGCATCAAGAAGAACCAGTCAAGGCATGATTCGAAAAAGAGAGGGAAAATGTCCTTAGCAAAGTACACTGGATACTAATTTGTAGGAAATCAAAAGCTAAGCATAATTCTTCTCTTCATATAAGAGGAATATATTCTACTAAGGATAACAACAGTACTAATGCTTCGAAATATGATGTAAGCTGAACGTTAGATCATATAGTCTTTGAGAATGAGCACTCATAACAGCACTAAAAATATGGGAACAGATCTCAAAAATCTCAAGACGTTTGATAAGAACTTCGGGTTTTCTCCTAGTAGCAACACTGGGAGCCAGAATGGCAACCAGCAAGCAAAGAAGAATATTGAAAAGTTCCAATATAGTGTGAACACGTCTTTTGATAGAAATAAAATGAAGTATGAGCCACTGGTTAACCCTTAGATCTCAGTACCAATCGTTCATCAATCCGATGTCCTTGAAGATGCCGGATGGACCAAAGAAAATCCAGAACAAACAGGATGTATACAGCGTAAATACTGCGGATAAACTTCTAGACATTCTGTAATCAGTGGTTTTCAGGACAATTTTATCAGCCACGGATAGAGAAGGCGGAGATAAATATTAACCAGAGAATTCACTCAAAAGAGGTTTGCTATTGAGGTAATTTCTAGGTCAACATCTCTCATAATCCTAATTACCCGATCATGCATTCAAAGGTCAGCTTAGATTGAGCAAATATCCCCAAGATAGACCGAAGCAATTCTCGAAAAGGTAATTTTCTCATCTAATTCTGCAGCTAAACAGCGGATTATCGTAAAGAAGGCTGGTAGGGTATCGTACCCTGATAAAGCCTTGAACGTGAAGGCAAAATCGAAGAAGAAAAAGTCACGCAAGTTAAATAGTATCTTAAATCCTAAATATTAAAAGTGGGCTTCATGCTCTCTTACAAGAAAGTAATCCAAATTTAGCCTGCGAGAATGAGGGATGTTCTGGAGTTTGCCACTAGGTTTGGAGCAATGATGATATGCGTTAGTTATTATTCAGATTAACCTCATTTTACTTCACTTTTGCACTTTCTGGTTTATATCTTCCCTCTCTAAGACCTCTTCTTTCACATTTTCACCGACCTGACTTCCCTCCAATAGTAACTTTCAACTGGAACTAAATTATAAGGGGTTTTGGGGTTTTGGGGTTTTGGGGTTTTGGGG